TAATAATCTAATACACATATGTATATATTTTTTATACTGAATTAAATATAACTGCTGTGATTTAATTATATATATATATTAAATATATTTTAACAATAAGATACAAATGCTACCTTATGTACGTACACGTAAATAGTTTTACACACACGTGTAAGTCATTTAAGCATGCGACAGACGCTAGATTTAACCCTCTTCGCCAATTAAATTAGGGGCTAAAAAGCATCAAATGATAAACAAACAATGAAACGATACGTATGGACATGTTATAGATGAGAGACGACCGAAAATGATTATCGGTAAGTAAGTAAAATATAACTATAGTCACCAATTCGTCAGAGGTCATTCTACCTGATGGAAGAAACTTCGTTGACAACAAGTTTATACCTAAATCATTCGATGACACTCTGATAAAATTTATGAGATAAGAGAAATTATATTTATTCGAGAATATAAATTGTTCCGATCACACATCTAAATCGACATTCTGACTAAATTTTGTAAATTATTGTTCACACCAGAGTGGATCGTCCTTCCAATTGCGCATGCGTACCGAATATTACCGAGCTACTGAAATGTCTGAAACCGATGTTAGTCGAGCATGATCGAATACGCACGAGCCGAACAAGCTTGAGTTTCATGTGATCCGAAGCCGATGCGCGGCGATTAAAAGAGACGAAAAGTGGGGTTAGGTTTGCAGTAGAGGGACAAGAGTGAGAGAGGGAGAGACGTAACGGTGGGAAGAAAAAGATAAGAGTTTTCTCGCGTTCACTAAGTGGGGATAGAATCTCGGCTCTGCTGCAGAAGCAAACTGTATAGTTCTGCGTCTCCAGCCAAGCTGTGTATACGATCGGCAAGCGTGAGAAGGAGAGAAAGAGAAGGGTAGCGAGCGGGCACATCGCGCGGTATATACAAGAAGGAAGAAAGGAATCCCCGTTGTGGAACAAGCTAGACAGAGACGAAAGCAAAAGAGAGCAGCTTGTGGAACGGCATGTCCTCGTGTGCTCGTGTCGTACAGCGTTTCCAGCGTTTCTGAACGCAGCCATTACGACAGAACCGTTCCCGGTGACGCTTTGCTGCGGTAGAACCGTGCTCACGCGCGCCAGTGGCCACGAAACGATCGGAACGGAACGCACGTGCTTTTTTCGGAAATTTGTACGAAATTTTTGTGGCAGGATAATCGTCCTCTCAGTGATAAAACGATAACGAACCGAAGCGCACCGAGGGACGCCGCCGTGAGATACGAGAATTTTTTGAAGACTTGTTTCTGTGTGTGTGTGTACAGAACTTAGGGACGCCTGTTTGACGCGCGGCGTCACGTCGCGCGGGTTACCCGAGTGTTCGGTTTTCGATTTGGCGAACGATCGAGGAGAACTCGCGATTAAAACGAAAACACCTTTCTATTCGACTTCTGTGTGACACCCCGGCCTTCGAGGGAAACATAACTAATCATGTTTGACGTATTCGGCTCCGTAAAGGGTTTACTAAAACTCGATAGCGTTTGCATCGACAACAATGTGTTCCGGCTTCATTATAAAGCGACAGTGATCATATTAATCGCCTTCTCGTTACTGGTCACGTCCAGGCAATACATCGGAGATCCAATAGATTGCATCGTGGACGAGATACCGCTTCACGTGATGGACACGTATTGCTGGATTTACTCTACGTTCACGATCCCCGATCGTACCGGCATCGTCGGAAAGGACCTGGTGCAGCCTGGTGTCGCGGCACACGTCGAGGGCGAGGACGAGGTCAAATACCATAAGTACTACCAATGGGTGTGCTTTACATTGTTCTTCCAGGCGATATTATTCTACATACCGCGTTACCTGTGGAAGACGTGGGAGGGCGGCAGGATCAAAATGCTCGTCCTGGACCTGAATTGTCCCGTAATGAGCGATGACGGTAAAACGGAGAGGAGAAAATTATTGGTCGATTATTTCGGGACCAACTGGCACACACAAAATTTCTACGCGTTCCGTTTCTTTCTATGCGAGGTGTTGAACTTTATCAACGTCGTCGGGCAAATATACTTCATGGATTTTTTCTTGGATGGCGAATTCACCACCTATGGCTCGGATGTAGTAAAATTCACCGAAATGGAACCGGAGGAGAGGATCGACCCTATGTCGCGGGTGTTCCCAAAGGTCACCAAATGCACCTTCCACAAATATGGTGCATCCGGTACGGTGCAGAAATTCGACGGTCTCTGCGTGCTGCCGTTGAACATCGTCAATGAGAAGATCTACGTGTTTCTCTGGTTCTGGTTCATCATCCTGTCCGTGCTGAGCGGCCTGACCCTGGCTTATCGTGCCGCAGTCGTCGCCGGGCCAAAACTTCGCTTGGTGTTATTGCGCGGCCGATCGCGCCTGTCGCCGCCGGATCACATCGAGACGATCGCGGATATGTGCCAAATCGGCGATTGGTTCGTTCTTTATCAGCTTGGTAAAAACATAGACCCGGTCGTATATCAACAGCTGATCGCGGATCTAGCCACCAAGCTTCAGGGCAAAGAGTCCGTCTAGTTTTCGATTATACAATTCATTTAGAATTCCTCTTTTTCTTTTCTATTCCCAATTCTTCGTTCCACTTGATCGATTTTCGAACATCTGATTAGAATCGTCTTAGTTTAACGCATATAATGTATTCTTGGCATAGTTCAACTTGAAGAGTCGTGGGGAGGGGCATTGTTTTTGAAATCCGTTTGCTGTGTACGTATCACATTATAACATATCTAGAGCGTATATCAATATTTTTCGAAAAATATATCGTAGTTCAACTGAAGCGTACGTGGGAAGGTGAATCGCCTTTTACGGGAAATCTGATTCGAAGAATGTTTTCTGTAAGATATCGGGCGAAGCAAATGAGGAAATTAATAATAATTTAATATTTTTTTACATTTGTTCAACTGTACGTCCATTGTCTTGCAATACTGCCATATTACGCAAGTACACATATATACTGCGCTCCTCGCCTATTCTTTGTCATCTGTATATGTATTTTTTCCTTATCTTTTAATATCATATTTTTTTCTACTTTAAATCATTTTACACAGCGTAAGATATATCAAAATATACTCGATAGTGTTAGGAAACCAATACATATACTCGCCAGTGCAGTGTATGAAGGACTGAAGCAGGAATATTGTTCATTTTTCTAACGACGTCGTTTTTACTTTAAAAACATATTGTTTCCCTTTTGCTTGGTCCGGTACCTTACGATAAATTTACAAGCAACAGCAACAATGACGAGGATACATATATACAATATGTCCAAACGTACGCGAGATATAGAGAAAGAGAGAGAGAGAGAGACAGACAGACAGACAGAGAGAAAGAGTTTAGTATTAAATTCCTTCGAGATATGGAGGTCTTTGTAGAGAGAGACTCTGATTGTGTGATATAAAACGGGGGACGACGTTTTCATTTCCTTTGCCATTCATGTTTCCCCCACCTTTTCCTACCCATTTCTTCCCCTTTCATAAAATGCGCATCTTATTTACTTTCCTTTTCTATTTGTTTCAAACAGGCCGCCTCTGATTACTCTCCCAATATTTGTTTTTTTTTTCTCACTTTGGTTCACTCTTGGGTGAAATAACACGCGAGAAAAAGGGGTAGAAAAGTCGAGTGGCAAATCTATCACGGAGGTACAAAGACTTTTAATCCTTCCAAAGCGAATCTTGTTTCATGTAATATGAAAAATGTTGTCTTATTCCATTAATATAATGGACTGCATGTCAATTCAAATTATATACACATAACTTATGCATGTAGACTTCTTATAAATTTAAGAAAAATGACAAGATCTTGTATATATATCGTTAAATTTATAAATCGTATATATACAAATAAATCGAAGTATACATGGTGAGTTAATTAAAACTCACGTGAAATAACCATTATCCAATCCATTCCAAAATGGACATGTTTCGATGCTTTTAAAATGCTGTCAAATGCAGCATGTGCCTCAATGACACTCACTGAGTTAACTTGGGGTTGTACTATTCCGTCAGCTTTGAGAGGGTTAAATAGTTTTTTCTGCCTTTTATCCTCCGTTTAAGAATCAAGAACAACACGTCGTCTTCCCAAAAAAAACGTGACTTCGCTGTCTTACTAGTTATTATTATTTTTTCATATCGTAGCCGTAGGACAGTACATTTTGTACATTGTAGACAGTCTTATTATAAAATAGAAGATATATATTTTATATATATATGTCGAGAGAAAGGGAGAGAGAGGGAGAGAACGAAATAAACGAGAAGGAAAGAAAAAGAGGAAGAAACCATAAGTGCGAAAGAAAGAATGAATGAATGTTCGAGCGAGCGAGAAAGAAAGGCAGCCAGGCAGGGATAGTATAGAAAGAAACAATTAGGGGTTCCTACAAAAAACAATCTTCGTTAGAAGCAATGAATTAAATTCACAATTTCGTTAATCAATTGGATGTAATTTTCCTGTCTTATAATTATAGATAACACTTCCAATGATTGTGGATAAACTATTTGGAATACAATTTTGTTTCCTAGAATTTGATAATTTGATTGTTTTTTGTCGTGAGTCCCTCAAACACTATAACAAAATTCTCCTTATCCGTCTTCTGTTCGCTTAGTTTTCCGCTATTAATATTTGTAACGGACGGTAATTGTAGAGATTGTTATAGAATACGCATCAAGGGACCAAAAGGAAGATAAAGAAACCGATAAAAGAGGAACAGATAGCGACGTAGTTAAGTGCAAACACGTAGATTTTCTTTTTCATTCCATCGTTTTCTCGTGCCTTCATTTCGCCCGTTATTGTGACTCGTTAAAATAACTAACTACTTGAAATTATTGTTACTGCCGGAATATCATTGTAATACCGTCCCGCACATGCGACCTAACTGAAATTCTAAATGAAAAGAAGATCACGAATAGGCTATCGAGTAGAAGGCAAGAAATAAAAGACAATAAAAAAAAATGCGCACATTTAGTCGTTAAGAATTTAGGTCGAAGAACAAAAAGAGAATGAAAAGGAGTACGGGCTCAGAGAGTCGTTTTCGCGCCAACTCTTCGCCAATTATTAATATTACTATATTATAGAACTAATAATCTACTTGAGGGATCCATGCTCAAAGTAAGACTGCCAAGTAATCGAAACACTCCATATCATCGTGATTCTTGTATTTTGTACCTATTTCGGATTGTGTACCCGTGAATAGAATTTAGAAACTTTCTTTCATTACATTTATTATTATGCATATTATATATACATAAATATGTTATATAATTCTCCTTTGCTTCATGCCAGTGTTTCCTTTTTTTTTTTACTTTCAGTCTATTCCGTTTGCATAATAATCCCATTGAAGGTATTTGTTCCTTGTCCTGGACTATTTTAGTTAACTTTCGTTCAGTTCTTTCTTTTTCAATCAACTATCTTATTATTGTAGCAGCTAATATACGTATTATTATGTATTTAATTTTCTGATCGACAGGAATTGACATAATTCTTTGATAAAAAAGTTCTTAAATTTATTTCATTTGTTTCTTTTCTCATTTACACCTTAGAGTGATAATTGATCGAAAATCGAAGAAACAAGGGATATTAAGAATATACACTTTAGTCCTAGTGCCTTTAAATATCAAGAATATCTTCTAATCAAACTTTTAAGCAATACATTCCAAGTATTGCGTTCATTTAACATATTCCGTGCCATTATCTGTGATAATCCAGAAACTAATTTAATTTCATTCTTATACCCAATTATCCAAATTATAGCCAAATCAAATTGGGTCAGTATCATTCGTTTTCAGTTAATCTAAATAATACTGGAGGAGGGGTAAAATGGGAAAAGGAAAGATCTATAACTCGATTTTAAGTCCAGCTAATCCGACAATTTACGTAATAACTGAGCTATTATTACGAAGGACGAAGCTATTATCAATCTAGCAATCGCTCGTTAACTGAATACTACATCGATATCAGATTAAACGTTTTTTAACCACTTTCTTTTATCCATGTGGCACGGAACGTGTCAAACGCGATAAGCCTGTGAAAGTAGTTATAGATTAGACCTGTTGATGTTACGTCTAACACAGACGTAGAAACGTTTTGTTCACAAAAAATGGGTTTATCTACAGAACTGTTCCACAGCAATCTTTTGATATTGACACTAATTTCAATTGAATAGAACATAATTCTCGTCTCTTACGCAATTTCTTTTAACAAAATAATTCTAAGTCTGTGGAAGGTATAATAATCGAGGAGAAAAGACAAGAAGGCCGGATTTTTACTCGTATCGCGTAACGAGTGAAATGATAAAAATGGGCGAGCTGCATTCGTAGATAGTGATTATTCTATTCTAACGAATTCCTATGCTGATTAGAGGAAAGAACATAACTATATCTGTAATATCGTATGTGCGTTGTGTGTACGTGCTTCCTCGCACCTGTAGAAGCGATAAGATACGAGAAGAAAATTATATATGAACAGAAAAAGTATATATTATATATATGATATAGAATTATAACGAGCCAGCTAGATGAGAATTGCTGGAGAAACGAGTGATAATTAATTAGTAATGACAGTCAGTTGACATCTGTTATTTTTTCCATTTAATATCCTGTTCTTTACTCGTTGATTACGGTAGCTACTACTTGCTATATCACATATGTAGTACGAAAGGGAAAACGTTTTCCTTCGGCAAGAAATCATGTTTGTTCTTTTTTTTAATAAAATTTCGTAACTAGAGAGGAAAAATAATGTGGCTCGTATTATTATTTCGTGAGTTACTATTTATGTTTTTGCTTTCGGTATTTGCGTTTTCATGATGTTTCTCGAAGATCAACAATGTACTGCCAAGGATAATCCATATATTTTCGTACGAATGTTCTTCTGGAATTGAACAAATAAAATGTCAGCGAGTAATCCAGTGATTTTGCCTGATTCTTGAGCTACACCAGCCGCGCCTTTCCTCCTCATTGATGGGTTTCACATTAATTATTGTTACAGGAAAAGTCGTACCGTCATGTTTCAAAGCTTACGAAATGGGTAAGTAAAATCATTCACGGAAAAAGAAAATTCTTATGATAATTTCAATCCGAGGAGGTTTCAATGTAACATTTTAATAGTAACAAAATTTCAACGAGAACACATCAAAGTAATAAGGATACAAGGAAAACATTTACTTGTTCGCAATGTTCTAAATAATTGAAAACTGTGAAGCTAAAAATAATATTTAATGTACTTCTTTCTATCAAATAATTTGCTAATTTGCTCGTACTAGTGTACTATTTCTGTTGGACCGGTGGAATTTATGAAACTATGCCGTCTCTGAAGGGATTCGTTGCACGTGCACAGCTTTGAGATTGACGATTATCGAAATGAACCTCGATGCTCGTTCCGACAGTCGAGGTCCAACCAATTTCGGTTCCCTCTGCTCGCGTTATTGCATCAGGGGACACGGAGATTATTCTCATTTTACCCATTAGTAACTCGAAGCTCAGCCTTAGAGTTAAATGGAGTCATTATCTCGCGTCCAAGCGAGCTGTCCCGAATGGATCTTTCAGTTCGTAACTGTTTCCCTGAAGGACGGAAGCTAATCCGCGTTAAAAGATTCATCTAACATCCCATACAACTAAAAGCTTTCTAAACTGCAATCATAGTTGACAATTTTGTAATTATTAGTTTTCTCTTTATCCTTCCCTTAGCTTGCGAAATAAAATAGTCAATTTTGTATTCTACAACCTCTTTCATGAACGAAAATTTCATGCACCAAATCTATTATAACTTTCATTGGATAAAGAGTTGATCGAAATTCTTTAACCATTTAAATTATTTGCAAAAATTGCATAAAATGTTTTTCACATTGCAACCGTTGAACCTGGCATTATCAGTGGAAACTCGATTGTCGCAACATTGTCGCAGTAAGTTTTAACAGGCGTTTGTAGAAATGCTAGAGGAAGCAGCTGAAGCAGTCGTTTTTGTTCAGCTGCCGGATTAGGTCGGAACAGCATGAAACAGGTAAAGGGACTGAAATAACCATAAAGGGAAAGTGGGTCTTTTATGGTTTTATGACTTGCTCAAAATTTTACTGTCTTCAGATAATTCTGACGTCCTGTGCATAGTACGACCACGAATACATTTCATTCAGAGAAGATAAACTACGCATTGCATATTTTACTGATAGCAAGCGCCTTCAATTTAAAAAAAAGTCTGCTTTTCCAAGTTTGGATCACATGTCTGATCATGATACGCAGTCGTGTGTATACGTATAATAACATCACGTCAATCTTATAATTACATATAAGTACATTGAAGGTAAATGCAATTCAATAGTAATGCAGCGTTGCTAGATATTTTTCTTACCGTCAAACTATCTTCATATGATTGTAATAATAAATATCCACATGAAAATGTACAGACAAATATTTTATCAATCGTCTCTTTAATATTGAAATCATGTACAAGGAGTTATCACCAAGGTAAGTAATGCATTTAAATTTTCTTTTCTTTTTGTAATAAATAAGACTTTCCGTAGTAATTACGGTAATCTTCTTAGTAAGTAACTTTCAAAGGTCTGCTTGTAATACTGAAAGTTACAAACTGTAGTATTAAAAACGGTCCACGGACTGTTCCACGATTTCGGTACGCTGCAAATGGACAGGCCAGGTAGCAAGCAGGTCAAGAATGATGGTGTCCGATGTATAATACATGTATACGCGAGCAGAGGAGCCGGAGGACAGAATTTTCTTCAGAGGATCCGTTCGGTTAGCTGGCTAGAAGCGACCGGCGGCATCAGGGGCAATGGCCGGTCAAAGTCCTACCTTCGACATTCTATCCCCACCAAACTCTTTTGTTCCTGTCCTTCTTGTTCACCGTTTCTACCTCTGCCCTCCCCTCTACTCATGCATCACCGCTGCACCCCCGACAACTTTACTCTTCTTTCACCTTAAACTTGTTCCCTCTCATCTCCTTATCTTATTTACCCTCTTTCAACTTTTTTATTTTCTCTTCCATTTACCTTCCCCATCTCCACCGATGCGTGATTTTCGGCGTTCGTTCATTCGTTCTCCTCTCGTTTTCACACGTATTCCTTTCTCGACTTCCATTTCACTAACAAAATTTGCTTCATCATCTGGTTTGTTTCATTTTTTCTTTCTCATGTTATTTAGCCGTTGGAAAGAAAAACGTTCTTTTCCATGTCTCTAAATATTTCAAGTTTTTCAGTTTTAAGTACTGAAAGAAGTATAGTTGCATTAGATCGCCACTAGAATTGTAATCTGTATCGTATCGATGATTTAATCGGCTTGAAATCACAACGGACGCGATAGCGATAATTATTGATTTTTTATCATCGAGTGCTTCGCTATTTAGTATCATGATCATGCGATACGAAACTTATCATTATCGTTACACATTAAAAAAAAAGCCGTCATAAGTGCGATTCCACGATTTCAATCCAACTTTTGCAATTAATTGTTTTGCGAAACGCTATTCCATTTAAAGCCATGTATGAATGGACCCTCATGATATTTACACGATATTATTAATTGACAAATTGAAACGGTCCTATTCCTTGTTATACGTTATACGCAGTTCGTGATCAACGAAGACCCAACTAATTTTGACTGACAGATTTACGAGTTAACGTTATTGATCCTTTTACTATTAAATCAATTTGGCACACAAGGGAGTCATTGAATTGCGAAAACGAGTACGAACTTTTCAATGATCGTTCTAGATCGAGGAATAATGAGGACGCTTACGTTACGTCGTGTGTAGGTAGTTAAACCAACAGTATAGACGTCGTAAACGCGACTATACTAATAATTAACGCAAAAGCACGTGTACATGTGTATAGGTATACATAAAGGGAACGAGATGTCTACGTAACATGATTAATGAATTTCTAACTGCCAACACTTTTACTGTTAAACTTATTACTCGGTGATGTAACACTTTCGCTTGTTTGCATTTTGCAATTGCATACTATTACATGTATGAACGTTGAACATTGTCGTCAGTTTTAAAAATATCTTTAGTTTTGCCATTTGCTATTTACATATATGTAAATTTCGTTTTTAAATCAGTTATTGAAGCAGGTGAACCGCAATGTAAAATGACGTAGTCCACACTGTGCATCTACTAGGAAACTTCTTACGAATCGTATAGTCTTATATGGTTTCTCAATTTTACTTCATCTATCCGTGTTTTAAGGTCGAATAAGCCCTTAAATAAGGACAATGATAAAGCATTACTTGGCATTTATTTTCAAATAAGTAGGAAGATCATTAACTACATGTATACGTGCGTTTATACTAATTGCCCTCGCTGTATCAAACAAATTCTTTTTATAAATAGCTTTCACTTCCATGATATTAATGTATATTGATAAAATATATTTGTCTAAAATATTTCGAAGACTAAACTACAAATACGATCCATTTCCTAATTTCTGCGTGGAAGACTATCCTTTTAAAATGAATGAATTAAGATCGATCGATCAATCAGGAAATGTTCTTGATGAAAGAATTGTACCAGTTCTAATGATGAAACGGTAACTCAAGTACCGCGTTATCTAGTTTTATCTAAACGAATAAGTGGTTTCATAATAATAATAACTCGTGTACACCTTCTTGTTCAGACCTATGATTACCGCACGGGTTTTCTGAAATGTCGTCAACTCACGATATAATGCCACTGCGCAATCGTCGCTGATAAGGAGAAATAAGATTTACCAGTTTCATGAATTCAGTGCGAGAATCGATCGACATTAAATCGGTATCGCGGGAAACCTTTTTGCCGCTCGCGATCTTTTGCCACATTATTAACTCGGGGTGCTGTGCACAGCGTCAAGGATACTGAAAGTGGCTATTGGATAACCGGATACCAGAAACGGTCGAGAGTCTGAGCAAACGTAGAGAGATTTCACGTGGGAACGAATGAGAAGATCGTAATCCAAAAAGATCTCTAAGATTTGCAGCAGAGATGGCAGACCTGTTAGCTACGTTTTCGGTTATCAAGAACCATGTCAAGTTGAAGGTCACGCAGGATGCCGTGTCCATTGACAACATGGGTAATGGGAATATAATGTTACATGGGTAGACTTCAAAGCATTTCACGATGGAAAAATTAAAAGCAGTTCAGATAAATATCACTGTATTATATTAGTATTGTTTAGTATTATCAGTTCAGTGACATTGTTAATATTTTTGTATTTTAAAGATTGCGTACTGTCATTTATTCAGTTTATACACTTATTTAATTAGCAATATTGCTTCATTTAATGTCGATCAAAAATCGATCTTCTTCATTGTTATTATTATTTCGGTTTTACCTTTTGCTTAATTTATTACATTCCATGCTTTTACTATCTTATATTTTAATATTTTATTCATTACATTAATTCATTATATTTTATACTTTATTAAATATATTATTTTATTTTCCATCCTATTAGTTTTCAAGCTACACTATAGAGTCACGTTTGTGGCACTGTTGCTTTGTACCCTATTGGTAACTTCTAGACAATTTATCGGGGAACACATAAGGTAAATAAAATTCTCAGTTGTGTGTGTTCTTAACGCATTATCCTTGCGTGTTCAACGTTACTGTCAAACATTATATTACTTAATTCATTTCTGAGGAGTACAGTTCATTTTTATCCTTATTGCAACTCTAATAGTTAATCTAAGTTTAAGTTTCTCATCGTTGTTATCAGTTGCGATACTTCTGTACTTTTAAAATTTAATATCAAGATATTGCTTATCCTTCTTTCAAGAACGATAGATAATACGTAACTCGAAAAATGATTGTGAAATAATTTCCTACAAATGTTTTAACTGTTACTTGCTTCAGAGATTTAGATGCTTATGTGTATGTATAAATACACGTTTTTACAGAAATGAAAAGAAAAAACATTATTTAAAAAATTCGAGTTGTAACAGTGTAAAAGCGTAGTTTTTCAAAAATTGAAGTATGAAGTTTAACGATCCGCAGATAATTTATTAAGAACACATAATTTGGCAATTAAAAAAAAATAATAATATAGAGCATGTATTCAATTTGATTTGTGGGCAAGGTGTATCATCGGGGACAAATGGGGCGATGATCAAATAAAAGTGATCAACACTTACTGCTTTTTCATGTCTACTTACACTGTGGTAAATATTATCATTACGTTATTATACTAAAAACAATACATTGAGTTATTTTAATTGTTCATAATGATATCGTAGAATAAACTTGCTTTTAATTATAGTTTATACATCTTAGACGTTTTTAAAAATATTTATACCAGAAGTGAAGAAAAAATTACTATTTTCATAATGAACATTGAAGTCTATAATTATTCGTATATATTTCTAATTTGAATAATTGTTTTAACATTTGACTTAACGAATTCATTTTTTTAGATGTTAGAGAGATTAGTTTACTATATGATGTATAATAGCATTTCTTTAATTTTTTATTATACATTATATAATAAACTAATGCTTTTAACACCCAAAAAAATTAATTTATTAAGTCTAATATTAAATATTGATGGACTCTGCTCTATTACATAATTGTAAATCTATAATTCATTTTGGTTAAAAATCATTCGGACTCAACGATTCTTGTAGCCGAAATACATGAACTTAACGTCCGCGGAGTTGGGTGAAATCGCACACCCCGGCGTGGGACCAGCGACCAAAGACGATCCTGTTGTGCACCATGCCTACTACCAGTGGGTGCCCTTCGTCCTGTTTTTTCAGGCGATTCTTTTTTACATGCCTCACTATATATGGAGGAGAGCTGAAGGTCAGTCCCGCTATATGTATAATATGAACCCCTTAACAACCAATCTTACCTATGTATGTATATATACATATGTACTTATACAATACATGTTCTCCACCTTTTAAATTCTTTCTTGCAAGACAATTATCACGTTAAACTTTTCTTTTCTTTTGCCGTTTAAATTAAATGTAAAGATTTAAACGATAAAAATTTATATTATTATATTAATCTAATAATTTTGTATTAAAATATCGCATATATTAATGGGACATTATTGTGCTGTTGGATAACCAAGCGCAAAACCTGAAAAGAGAAGTGGTCCAAAAAATATTTTGGCTGTAAATTTCTTGATTCAGGGGGTCGTTTGAAGGTATTGGTGTCCGGTTTACAAATGGCATCGTTAGCTCTGCGCGAGACATCTCTGAAGACTGAGAACAATATAACTATTCCATCGAGGGGCGAGCGGGACGAGAAAATAAGACAGATTCGACAGGCTTTCCTCCAGCGTATTCACTTAAATCGGCCGTGGGCGTATTCGCTGGGTCTCTGTGAAGTTCTCAATTTCATTAACGTGTTGGTGCAAATTTACTTAACCGATTGGTTCCTCGGCGGCGCTTTCCTCGGCCTTGGGAAAGTGTTGGGACAGGAAAGCACCGATGGGAAAGTAGATGCGCTCGACGTCGTGTTCCCTAAAGTAAGTGTATAGGTACATTTTACAGGTATTTCGCCTATGCAAGACACGTGTTCTTTTAAGGGAACTTCAAAATTCAACCTCTGTGCAGCTGAAAATTATTTTTAGAAATGCTCATTCTTATTTCTGTATAAATGTCTTTAATATTTGCAACTAATAAGACAAGATTAAAGAATATATGAAAATATGAAGAATTTCGAAGATGTATATTAAACTGAGCACGAAACTATGACAGATGAGTACGATATTATCAATTTGAAGAACAAATATAATACTTTAATAATGTTGCTTAAAATACCATAAAATGTGAATCATGTTCACACATCTTTTCTAATAGATACATTATGACTGTGAGTCATGGGAGTATTCATATCTTTCTTGTGTTAATATCACGTGATTTTCACAAACATTTTATCTTCAATGAAAAAATATTATGGAATTTTCATCTGAAGTATAACGTTAGATACGTCCTCCATTAAAGATTTATAATTTAGTTTAGTATAACATAAATACTGTACCAAATCAGACGCAAATATTTTAAGAAGACAATTTTTATATTAGATTTTTATATTTTAAAAAGACAATTATTATTTTATATTATATTTAGAACACCAAACCATAATTTTAATTTGGTATCAATAATTTTGTCGAAGATAAAATTCCAAATTACACTCGTTTATTTTAAGGGAATTCTTTCTTAGAATATCATATTATCGTTTTATAACTGTTCAATTAAATGGAAAGATTAGATAAAGTTGTAATCCCAATCTTAAATTAAGCGTATGTATATGCTTACTCACATTTTCGTAGAGTAACATTTTGGTATCTTTACGACATAAGAACTGAATTCTCATTTCTTAGATAATATTAATTAAAAAAATGC